TCCACCATCAACTACCTATCGCTACACAGCTTCATCCAATAAATCTGATGCTGTTCTATGGGCCACATGGTGGTGCCATAATCAGTGCTCCAGTTTTAAGTCTGTCAACTAGTGAGTAGTGCACTGTTGTGCTTTATCCTTGGCCTATGAGTCCTTACTTGTGTTGGCCTTTGGAGGTCCCTGGGCTCATGTATCCATTAGTCCACTATGCCACCTTAGTAGATAAGGATGTTTATGCCTTTGTCTTAAGTGCAGTGCCTAAGTTAGGGCCTTTGTCTGTCGGCCAGAGTGGCTTAGTAGTGTGTTGGCACCAGCCATCTTGAGTTACTGAACTCGAAGAATAATATGTAGTCCTCCCTGTTTGTTTTCGCTTCATGTGTACTATTGCCTCAGTTCGATTAAAGTGCTTTGTCTACTTTCCTTCCATGTTAGCATATCCAGCGCCCTGGACATTACATGAATATCTATGCGATGCGTGCACTCCCAACTTGACTCCCATGCGCTAATAAGTTCGTGCGATTTGGTTCGCGTGAGCATTGTACCGCTTAGCTATGTAGAGTCTGGTTGGAGAATGGAAAAAAATGCAACACAGGGGAGTTCTCCCATGGAGATTGTGGAAATCAGTACGATGGAGTTGGGGGCATAAGCACTGACCTCATCGGTTTGCTGCTCCTCCCGTTCAGCAGTCTACATGAACCAATGGCCCATCATTGGATACCGGTAGGGTTCCTGGCATAAATATATTGCCCCCAGTGGCAAGTTCTGCATGAATCACGCCAGAAATTAACATGAGAGTGAAACATCTAATAGGTATGATGATTGCGCTTTGTCAGCCTCACCACCGCCATAGGTTTATTCCCTACCCAGATCTTTTTATTTAGTTTTCCCATCATAAGTTTCATTCCAGCTTCACCACCAACAACAGAGGATGCTGTTGGCAGTTCAGAGATACTGATTTTTTAGCAATAGCAGCATGGGTGTTTGGTACAGCTAACAACTTGTAGAGCATGGGACCACCAATTATTGCCCCAAACATATAATATTTACCTAAAAATGGAACATGAGAGCACATTCCTATCATAGATTACTATAGTTCGCTTTTCCCGTACCCACACCACCGCTCAAACAAATTGTTCGTGGAATGTTCTTCAGTAACCAAAGTGGATGCAATTGGATCCAGCATGCGCCACGTTACTGCAATATCTATTGACTGAGAGATCTAGAAATCACCTTGATGCATCCTAGGAGGTCCGTGCAGATGGCCCGACATGGCTCTGCTTGGGAAAGCCCGGTGACCTTTTCAGGTCATTCATCCATAGAGAGTTTTGAAATTTATCACCAATGTTCCAAATCGTCGGTGGCCTAGAGACGGAGGGAGCCGAGGCCCCGAGTACCTGTAGGTCGGTCACCAGTGGGCAGTGGCCGGCCTAGGCGTGCTGGCGGAGGCCGGCGTGACGATGAAAAGTATCCTTAGGTTCCTCGATGTGTCATTATCCATCAAATCATAGAAGAATGTGGATGGACACTTCGTGGCCACTACTGAGCGTCTGCTCTCATGCAACCCAAATGATCTGTGTTGGACATGGGACCAGAGCCCTCCTCCATTTTGCACCCCACGCTCAAAGAATCTCATGGATGGTTAGGCGCTTAGGTGTTTACTCCCTCCGTCACATTGAAAGTGTCGTTTTTTATTTTTAGACTTCTTGTTTGACCGTTCGTCTTATTCAATTTTTTTTTGCAAATAGTAAAATAAATAAATCATTATTAAAGTATTTCTAATGATAAAATAAGTCATAACAAAATAAATAATATTTATAATTTTTTTTGAATAAGATGAACAGTCAAATAAGAAGTCTAAAAGTCAAAAACGAAATTTTGAATGGGACGGAGGCAGTACGTTGCTGCCAATAGTGATGCATAATTCTGCTAAAAATATGTTACTAAAATAGGCGGCCTCGCCATACATGTTTTGACAACGGCGTAGGAACTTAGTTCTAGAATGCCATATATGTGCATACGTGCGAAATTGTTTCCTGAAGCTGTTAGATATGCTCGAGAGGACCCAGTTCTAGCTGTACGTGGACCCCTAGCTTTGTTAGTCAAACATTTGTATTTTTAAACATGTTCCCCAAACAATTATATAGATTCGCGCCGCTATTTAATTTGGTGAATCTAAGAATTGACTTTATTATGAGATGGAAGCCATACATTTCTAGGTTCACTACGAGAAATGATTTCACAATATATATTCCATAAGTTGGGAAACACAAAACTTAAATTAATGGTCCAATATCGAAATATTTGACTAAAAAAAGAGACTCCCCTTGCGTCGAAGGGTTAGCTGGTGATGGAGTTTTAGATAGGTCATACGTAGTCAAGTTGTGAACAGGCCCTATGCCCTCGAAATTTGAATAAATCCATGAAATTTGAATATCTATTCCACTCTTCTTATTTCAACAGTTATCTCAGGGCTTCTCGTAGGGTAGCGGGCGCATGAAAGCTCTAGTTTGGTTTTGGTAAATTGATGAAACCCTAAGTGCTAACCTAGTTCATCAAGTGATCATGAGATAGGTAGCACACTTCAAGTAGAGAAGCAAATGAAGATCATAACATGACAATGGTGATAGCATGGAGATGATCAAGGGCTTAAACTTGAAGAGAAGAAAGAGAAAAACAAAAAGCTCAAGGCAAAGGTATAACTTGTAGGAGCTATTTTATTTTGGTGATCAAGACACTTAGAGAGTGTGATCACATTTAGGTTTGATAGCCGTACTATTAAGAGGGGTGAAACTCGTATCGGAATGAGGTCATCAAAGTGCCACTAGATGCTCTAACTCATTGCATATGCATTTAGGATCTAGTGGAGTGCTAACACCCTTGATAATATTTGTGTAAATATGCTACCACATGTGCACAAGGTGTTTGTAGGGTTGAGATGAGTTTGGGTCCCTCTCTCCCTCCCGCCGAGCGTGCGAGGCGGGATTCGGCGCTTTCGGGAAAATAAAATGTCTATTTTCTATTGCGCCGGATGCAAAATTCTTGGTGGTTGGCACACTTGAGCAAGGGTGAAGAAGTAAGAGTTGAAATGGAGTTGATCGAAATGATGCTGGTGTCGGTCTACTGACCGGACGCTGGGTCACTCAGCGACCGGACGCTGAAAGGCTGTGTCCGGTCGAGCTGTCAGACGGCACAGTGGCTAGGGTTGAGCACCGGACGCTGGCTGCGTCCGGTCAAGGTGGATCGGATGCGTCCGGTCGAAAAAACATGCCTCGGGGAGCTTACTGGAAACGACCGGACGCTGGGGCTTCAGCGTCCGGTCAGTTTTACCGGAGCGTCCGGTCAGCTTCGCAGCCGTTGAAATCTGACGAACAGCGTTTGAAGCTGGTGACGCGTGGCGTCCATCGGGCGACCAAACGCTGGCCCTCAGCGTCCGGTCAGTATGACCGGAGCGTCCGGTCAGAGCGCGTTTTGCCCAGTGAAGGGGTATAACGGCTCTATTTGATTAGGGCTCTATTTATAGCCCCATGGCCGGCTCAAGGGAGCACTCTTGCACATTTTCATTGACATAGCAACCTTGTGAGCCTAGCTAAAGGACTCCCACTCATCTACATCATTGACTCATCATTATAGTGAGATTGGGAGTGATCCAAGTGCATTGCTTGAGTGATTGCATCTAGAGGCACTTAGTGATCGTGTTTCACTGCGGATTTCGCTTGTTACTTTTGGTGGTTGCCGCCACCTAGACGGCTTGGAGCAGCAAGGATCGTTGAGTGGAGGAGGTGATTGTCTCCGACTCCGATCGTGGTGATTATGAGGGGTTCTTGACCTTTCCCCGACGGAGCGCCAAAAGGTACTCTAGTAAATTGCTTGTGGCTTATGTAATCCTCATCTTGTGTTGGTTGTGCGGCACCCTATTGAGGGTTTGGCGAGTGATGCCAATCAGCGCGTGAACCTCCAAGTGAGTGAATCGCCACAACGAGGACTAGCTTGCCGGCAAGCAAGTGAACCTCGGTAAAAATCATTGTGTTCATCATTTGATCCCGAGGTGATTGGTCTACATTGGTATTCATTATTGTGATTGATTGGTTCCTACCACTACACGGCGGTATAACTCTCTTGCTCACTCTTACATTACCGCAAACTAGTTATCAAGCTCTTTAGTGTAGCTAGTTGTGAGAGCTTGTTTGTTTGATTAGTGTTGCTCTTTAGTTAGTCTTTGAGAGCACACTAATTTAGCTAAGTGTCATAGCTATTGTGTGGACATACACTATTCGAAATAGAATTGTGGTAGGTGGCTTGCATTTTAGTAGGCTAGCGCAACACTCGCTTCGCCGCAAAATTGTCTAACACATTTTGTTAAGTGTTGTTGTAGAATTTTATTAGGCTATTCACCCCCCTCTAGCCATTAGGACCTTTCAGCGCATTACAAGAATATACAATATGATTGATGCCACCAGAGTAGGTATTAGGATAGCAAAGATGGCGATGGTGAGCTCTTCTTCATCTAAGCACATCTTGAGTGTCAACTTCTTGCTTCTGACAATGTTTTCTTCGGTAATCTTCAGCTTGCAGTACTCATCTCAGGCTTTTTCTTGAAATGTTAAAACAGGTTGGCACTTGAATAGGGGCTTATGCGGGCAATTAGTGTTGAGTGTGGGGTGTCTTGTTGTGAAGGGGAAGGGGCAAGGATGGCATTTTATAGGCGATAGACGGTGAGGTTTAGGGGGTGGGTGCGCGCCATTATCGGTGACACTGAGCAGCATTGGGGCTGAGGGAATCGGGTTCGTCGGGGGACAGCTGCAGTGGCATCGGGGCGATGGAGGTGACAGCACAGGCGTGCGGGAAAAGGAGTGGGTGAGTGGATAGCGGCTGCGGGCGTGGCTTTTGCATGCGGTCTGCTGCGCACTTTGCGGGTTGCATGGGTGTGGAGTAAATGTAGCTAACTCTCGGGTAGCTGTTGATTTCCTTCTTGTCTTTATTCTTGGATGGTTTCTGTCTTCTCAAAATATCCCTGGTGGTGATCTTTCTAAAAGTCTACTCTACATAGAATGGGATGAGAGGGAAGAGAACAAAATGAGGAAAAAATCTATTCCTAATAGAGAGTTAGGGATCTTACAGTAGTTGTTGAAATAGATCGAAAGGATGGCACAAGCAGGTTAGCCGCAATTAATGGACTAACCCCAAATAAGTGATGAGTAATACCTCCTTGATCACTTGGGCAGATCTTGTTAGTTGCGATGTCGAGACCAGCATATATTTGGATCTTGTCAGCATTCATCACTTCATCACCAATCGCCTTGGATATGTCAATTGATAACTTTGTCTTGCCTGTGCCAGTGGCACCCATGATTACCACCGGTTTAATTGACAACATCTAGAAGATATAGTTCGATCTTGTGAAGGTGAGGGATGTTGCACTGGAATGGTGAAGTGGAAGGTGCTTATGGCCCTATAAACATTAGGTCTACCAGCCCGCGGTGTAGGAACAGTCGACTGTGTGGTAGAGCGGAGGAGGGAGGTTTAGCATTAGGAGCACTGTTAAGCTTAGCGCTGCCAAACTAGGCATGGTATACACGCATACATCATCAAATCTACTTAATGCTGCCAACTACATGCTTCGCATGCGAACATAGCATACACACATGTAATAGCATAATAGGATAACAAATAAATGGTATATGGACATCTACAAGACCGCCATCAACATGTTGTCACCTCATTGTTGCCTAGGCCACTAAAGGCGCGACCGTGGATACATACAAAGTCTACAATGTTTCAGCTAGCTGGTAGACTATTCTAATGCCTATGGACTACTTTTCTGCAACATTGTGGTTGCTCTTAGATTATGTTTTCGATGTTGTTTCAATTCCACGACTAAATAAACAGTAGCCTGCCCATAACATAAAAGCAGGCAACCACGGGACATATATAATGTGTCTGCTGGTTGTGCTTCAATGGAACGTTGGCATGGTTAAGATGGTCGAATTACAGACACATGAGCAAGAAATAAAACGGTTTTGATGACTTGGTCCTTCGTTGCCCGATGCCCGATAACGGCGCGTGCGCCGACCCCACCACCATCGCCGCCACAGCGCACCAGCGCCCGGACACCACTCACTGACTACAGCAGCTCGCACGCCGTCATGACAGCGGGTCCCACCTTCCCTCCCTCTCCCTTCTCCATGCATGGCAGCAGCACGAGCAGCACAACCGTATATGTGTAGCAAATAGAGCAAGGCAAGCACGCACGCAAACAACCACCACATTTACCACGCACGCACCAGCAGCACCTTGTTACCTTTAACCCCGCTAACTAGCCGCTGTCCATTTGCATGCACCATGCAAAGTTAGCATGTTGGCACAAGCAAAGGCCTCAGCAGCATGCACATGGTTCGTACTTGTATGCGTGTCGACCATCACGCTACGAGCCACTGGCCATGCATGCCGAGCATCCACCCCCCTCCCCCGCTACACGCCGCACCGCCCACCTGCAACGTCGTCCCATCGTCCTATGCAGCCATGGCGCCATAGCAATACCATTAATGGCGAGAAGCTGAGCGCCAGTGGCACAGCTCCTCTCCGGCCACAAGTAGCGAAGTATGAACCTAAAAATAATGGAGGTGACCAAATTTGAACTAACTTTTTCAACGCCTTGGAAGCGTAAACCGTGTCTGTAAGATTTTGTATGGTCCTGACAAAGTAGAAGGCAATTCCTGAGGTTCACATCACGCTATTTCTGGCCGCGTCTTTAAAACCACACCCTCTATCTCATTGATTAAATTTAAAATTGTCTGACATATTGAAAAGTGAGAATTATATTCATTTTATGACGGAGAGAGTAATTAAGGTAAAGACCTGCCAAAAAAAGCACGGTAAAGATGAAGCAATAAAGCTGGCCCTCGGAGAATTTATACGAGGAGGCAATAGACTGAACATGCAAAATATATAAAACAAGATGGCGAGTGCCTTCCTAAGCTATCCAGAAATTCACTCAGTAAATTTGAAAGCACTGGACATCTTTACCTACGTAGGGTGGGTCAAAAGCAGGTGGACACATTTAATGCCTTCCCTCCATGCTACCATCACATAAAAACAAGTCGGGTAGGTGGACACATTTAATGCCTCTCCTCCTTACCATCAGATAAAAACAATTCACCGACCATGCAGGAACATTTGTACTTACACATGCATCCATGCATCTAAGAGACGGCTTGGGTTGCGTGCACGTTGCTCCCGAGCTGGTTGGTGGTTGGGGTTGGTCGCCATTAATACGTCTCTCTAGCCAGTGCAGGTTCAACTTCCTAGCCGTGCAGCGTCCCATCATCCCTTAGCACCTCCGTGTCCACCTCACCATGGCAAACATCAGGGCGATCACTGCGGACTACGGCTAAAGATCTGTTGCCTTCCTTGCACCGCTCGTGTGCCCTACACTACCAGCACCACCATCGGCATAAATGATGAAATAAAGCTTCGGAACCTATTTCTAAACTAAAACTTGACAACAAATTCTTTTCAAAAAGTTAGGACGTTGCATGCGAAGTTATATAAGTAGCCCTATTACTATGGTTATGTATCCAGGATAGATGGCACTCTGCTGACTTAGGTAGGCTTAATCAAGTTCTTTGCAGGTACACTGACCCCGAGCATAGTCCGATAGTATCGACTAGCTACAGGGAGAGATCGGTGTGCTAAAAATCTAAGAACGGTTGCCCTATATGTTGGCAACAGTAGAAGGACGTATAGGACGTGCATTCATGCATATTCTGTTTGTGCATTGTAGTGCCCGTATTGCTTGTAGATACGCCATCCATAGGTGTCACGCGTGTCGTATGGCGCACAACTGACTCATTCCTATTCTGGAGTTAATGCTAAACTGTGGCTTTGTGCTTTGCGTCGCCTGTGGTTCACGCCTGCCGTAACCCGCGTCTCCCCATACTCTTTTCTGGGCTCTTGTCGGAACCTTGTCTTGCATCCGTATTAGTCATTAATGGCCTTAGACATCGCTCGCCTCGAACGCACGAAAAATTCAGTCGATTCATTTATAGTGATCTCGTGCTGGAACCTTGGTGGACTGCGCCAGGACCACTGATCGCTCTGCCTTTATAAGCAGGGTCTGGCTTAGCTGTTGGTACCACCACCCGGTGCACTTTAGCTCACCTAGCTTTTCCTTTTAAGTCAGCTTTTCGCTCAGTCCTTCCTTGCAACCACCGCCAGCGATGGCAGAAGCCTGGGTTAGTAGTTACTGCCTGAACACTGAGAGTTTTCCCAAGATCCTGTATGCCAACCTACAAAAACTCGGAGTCAAAGATCGTCCTGAGTATGAGGGCCGTGAGTATGAAAAGCATGGCACTGAGCGGTGTGAAGTTACCGTCTACATTGGGAAGAGTGAAGAGTTCCTCGACATCACTGAAGCCTAGAATGTGACCGCAACTAGGTTTCGCTTTGTCAACACCTACCAGGTTGTGGCTCGCAAAGCCTTGCGGTACCTTTGTCAGATCTATGAAGAGCCCATTGCCCGTACCCCCATGAGGTTCTTTCCACCTTTGGAAAAGAATCGACGGGCATGGAGGGCTCGCATGGAGGCTTTGCAAGGGCGGGATGCGCAAGAAGATAGTCCTACCGCGGTGCACTTGACCACATACCTGCTTGCTCTGGATGAGCAGTATGACCGGCAAACCTTAGAGCTGAGGAAGTGCCTTCGGCGAGCCGAGGAAGCCGAGATCTTCTCCAGGATGCTCCAAGCGCAGCTTGCCGAAGCGCATGCCAGTGCGGCAACCGCTGAGAGTCGGGAGACTGCCATGTCGGAAGCTCTGAAGGAGGCTGAAGATCGACATGCCCATCAGTTGGGAGAGGCCTACCTTGTCACTAGGGCCAAGCGGAGGGCGTTGGCTGCTGAACGGCAGGATCCCTTGATCGTGGAGGGGATCCCTATCCACCCGCTAGAAAGGAGAACTGGTGTTGCAGTACCGCCAGCACCTCCACCCTCGGAAGTGTCAGAAGTAGAACCCTTGATTCCTCTCACTCAGCCGTTGCCAAGAGAGGAGGCAGATCCATAGCCAGTGCGGTAGAAGAATCCACCGAGCCCGGGAATGAAGATGCGTGGTCCAAAGTAGATTAGTTGCCTTAGGATGATGTACCCGTAGTTAGTAGTGTCTTTCATCACTGTCCACCGGTATTGTAATCTTTCCGTTGTATTTCATCTGTAGTTGTTGAGGTAGTCCGATCGTAGGAAAGGTGAACGATGTGTCGAGAATGGGAGAGTAAGTGACTGTATGTTGTACCAACATAAGGACGTTCAGAATATGCATTTTATTTATTTCGCTGTGTTATTGTGTCCATCTACCTTAAGTCTCGTTAGACGTGCTTAGGGTTTTTGAGGGCGATGTTAAGTGGGTTACAAGAGAAATTACCATTCGAATGCGAGCAGACTAGCCATGATTGGATAACACAGGACACTCTATCAACTAATTGTGGATGTCCCAGTAGAACACTTGAATCTCTTTAAATCAAATCCGTTATTGGATTTGAAGTCCTTGTCCCTTGTTGTGAAAGGAACCCTTGTTGTTTGAATCTTCCCTTGCAATACTCCTCTGATTCTGTGGTCTATGACCCCACCGTCTTCATTGCGTGTAAGTTGGTAGTAGTTGCTTGGTTAATAGCTTATGGTGCCACGACGAAACCGAGGGCCCCTGTGGAACAGTTGCCACATGGTGACGCTGCTCGGCACGCGCTGGTATCGAGGTTGTTGACCAAGTACCTTTACCAAGTTACACCGCCATACTACTTTTGATACAAATATTCGGGTGTTTGAACGAGAAATCCACAACGGGTTGATGAAATAGTGTTCTCAAAGTAAACAAGAGGAAGTGGTTTTGGAGGAAGCATGTATGTTGTGATCTCACTTCATATAAAGGTTGGCGCATATTGTGGACAAGAAAGGGAAGGAAAGAAGAACACCTAGGAAAAGTTAGCCTTGATAGTAGAGAGTGCTTAGAAAAGCCTGAGTGGATGTCAAGTCCCAAGCACTATGCCCAGCTCGACCACGCTACGCACGCCAGGTCGCTGTCACCGCATGCCCCACGGATGCCGTCGGTGTCGGGCCCATTAGAACCCTGTCCTCGCATGTCCGCGACATCGTGCCGCACTCGCCGCCCTCGTGCACTGTGCGCTTCTCCTTTTCCCGGCCTCCAGTCCGCTCTTATCCTCGCCCTCGTCCCCATACCGGACCCCCTCCCTTCTTTCTTCTTTTGGGGACACGGCCGCCCGCACGCCTTCCTCGTCGAGCAAACCCTCTCTCCTCTCCTTTATTCCCCCCTTCGCTCGCTTGCGCAGGGAGCGCGTCATGGTTGACTTTATCCCCACAGCGTGAACCGGCAGTGTATCCCATCCATGCCGTCTCCACTTCCGGTGCGCTGCGCCCCACTCCGTTCGCCACTATAAGATGCCCTTGGTCCTTGCTCTTCTTCTTCATCTCCATCCCTCTCAAATCCAAAGCAGAGCTACGAGATCCAGTCGTCATTGTGGAACTAAATTCGTCTGACAGAGGCGATAGTGTAATCTAAGAAGAAGGGATCTAGTTTTCGAAGAAATTCAAGTCTATCGTTGGTTAGTTTAGTCTTAGGGTTCACGATGTTTAACTTCTCAGTCTCCTGTTTCTGAATCTGTTGATCATACGCTATGTTTTGGATAATCATTATCTTATTATTTCTCCATTGCCCTCGTCTATCCCGACTTCTAGAGTAAGCCTTGATTGTACTAGGTTGCTCTTAACCATATAACTTTAAATCCCAGTGCAATTTAATATTCGATGTTCTATAATCTTTCGTGTAATTCCAGATTTACGAAATACGTTGGTCGCCTAAGGAGAGTGGATCATAATTCACTCTTTTGTAAACCCTCGCGTTAAGAGACGTACTTGTATTGTAGTTTTTACTCTTTCCACCTATAATGTAATCCTAACCAATGTTGTGCTTTGAATCTAAATGTGTTAATTGCTTAAGCCCAATTCCATCAAATACTTATTTTCACTAACATGTCATTGATCTGCTGGCCTACAATAGGCTCCATGTAATGACAACCTCTATGTTCGTTTACAACATTATAATAAAAAAAAACCATATTACATTTCCTTCCCATATTTTCCCATTTAATGTACCAAATAGATCAACCTTTCGTAGCAACGCGATGAGAAAACATATTAGACATATGAGCCATATTTCCTAAGATTTTTCCTATACCAAGCACATCACCCGCAGCGAAGCGCGGACAGCAGTGGCTAGTAATGATAATAGCTATGACATGAAAGAAGAATCTTTGCAAACATACTTGGAATAGAATTTTTATGAAAATTCGAGAAGATGATGTCGTGTCTTCCTCTGTCAACCTGATGTAAGCCAAAACATACCAAGGGAGCGCATCAGTCCCCAACAAATGTGCAAAGAACTAGGCAGCATTCCTCAACTTGTTTGTTCCAAGACGATGAATCATCGAATATTGTTGCACAAAGCATTTTTCGAAGTTCTCCTCGTACACTTTATTGATCATGCAAAATCGCTGTCCTAGCAGCCCATAATAACGAAGGTATGTTCTCTCCTGACTGCAACACTCAAGCATAATGCACAGCTCCATCTGCCACAAAACAAACAATTTTCATCAGGGAACAAATACTTGCAGATCTCTCCTAAAAAATGTAAAGATTGCAGATTCCGCATCAAGCCATTGCAGATTCTGCATAAAAAAGTACAGATTGCAGATTATGCATCAAGACAACAGCAAAAGACAAAGCAATTAAAAGCATAAAAAAATACCCCAAAAGGAATTACAATTCAAACCATATTCAATACCCCCATATGAAAAGGCAATAAACCCAACAAATTATTCATTATATTTATAACTAAAGAAGTTACTTAACCTTAAGCATTATTTGTTTCTGTGCTTATTATCTGTTTCAAGCTTAGTGACAATAACGAAAAGAATGGATGTTTGCTTCATTTAAATTTTTTCTTGAAAGATCACAGTTAGTTGAAATATTTTGTGACAGGTGGAGCAACAAAAACCAGATCAAAACCAGAAAGACAGTCTTAATGTAGGTTACGCACTGCACTGCTGTGCACAATATTAGTATTTGTTACACTACGTCCGCTAACTAGCAATGCATCAACTTACAAGTAAAGTCAAGTCATGACTACATTTCTCAGTACATGTATCCTCAGAATTTTCAAAACTAGTTTTCTGCTCTTCTGGACAGGTCAGATACTTAATCTAATCTCTTGAGGTTACAAAGTGCACAGCATGTAATGAAATGCTCAGAAGCAAACACTTGCAGACAAATTAATCAGAAAATGGTATCTTGTGAAATCGCGAAAACTAGCTTGGCTAAACCAATGATAAAAAGGAGTCCATGAAGGTGAAAAGTTGTAACAATGCAATTTATTATATATGTTAATGGAAGGATTAACCACCCAATGATAATGTGTACTCCTGTTAGCATCTTTGACACAAATATACAGCAATAAATTCAGCATAGGTCCTGGAGGCAATCGCAACAGAATTCATCTATCATGCTCAACCATTCAAGAGTACTTTAGATTCAATGAATAGTTATCTTTTTAATTACCATTGAATCAGCCATTGAGGCTGTACCTAGGTGGCGACCAAACAAGCACTGGTCACTTTTCACAACATATCTAACCTCTGTAAAATGGTGGGTATTGAAGTATTAGGTTTAATCTAAAGCAAGCTTTACTCTTAGCTATTGGAAAATTTTGTCAAGATATATTAGTCCAATAAAAAGATAAACGGCAAAACTTAAAACGTTTACAAAAGTTTAAATCAGTGTAAAAGAGAATAGTGGTACTAGAAGCAAATATTCTAAACTGTGGCAGCATACTATCAAAAAGGAAAATGGAACCAAAGACAAACAAGCAATCAAGAAACATCTCAACAAACAAACATAAAATAATATTAGATATGAAAATCAATATCAGATATCAGAATCACATGAAATCAAGAAACGCTTCTGATGCTTACCTCTTGACCAGGCTCAAGCTTAATTTTCATAAGCTTGTGGCCAGCTTCTTCAAAATCAACACTGGACATAATAGTCCAATATATTGTTCTTCTAAGATTAACAAGATTCGTCTCTGTTCTATCCCTTATCTCCATTTGTTCCTCATCCTCTTCATCAGATTCTTCCTCATCTTCATCATCATCAGGAGTAGCATCTGATCCTTCTTCATCTTCAGAAGACTCTGCTCCCAGAATGCTTCTCTTTAGATTCTCATATGCCTTCTCATCTTCAACAAAATTGGGTTTGCCCGGAAAACATCTGCAATTAAAGAGAGGTCAGCATTACATTACACAAAACTGGATCTCTTCACTCAGAAAGTTCATATTATCAATGTAGCATAGAGGACTCTCCATGCAACAACAAAACCTTAGATTGGTCTCAGGGTCTAGGTCATCTTCAAGGGATATCTCATGTGTAAACTGGTCCTCCTGCTCCACTAGATCCAACTCTGGACGGATGGCTGGGAACCCCTACATAAATGGAACAAAAATCATCTGTCAGAACATTTGATGACCATGCAACGGAAAAAACACCAGGCTTCTCAACTTTGAGCCCTTTCTAAATCAGAGCATGGTCTTTGAGGCGTCGCCTAGGCATTGAGGCATACCCCAGGTGCCACAGGACGCCACAAGGTTTTAGTTATGCCATATCACCTGACGTACAGCCGTATCGCCAGCACAACAGGACACCACAGCACCTCAAAAACCATGATCACAAGTATAACTTTACCTGGAATTTAGCCTTTCTAATTGCAAAAAGGCCTTCGATCAGAAACTGCACTCTCTTGTCTATTTCTCCTTCATGAAGAATGCCTCACAATCTTTCAAAAATAGCTGCATGAATTGATCAACAGGTAAATACTTTGTGAATTGAACAAGAAATAGGAGAGAGAAAAAACTAACAGCATGGGATCAATAAAGGCTTATCCACAATGGTCAAATTAAGGCTGAATAAGTGTTTCAGCATTTATATTGTTGTTGTAATACCAAACATAGCATTCACCCTCAAATAAAAAATAAATCTTTTTGGACACAGTATTCAAAAGAGAACAGAAAACTAAACATCAATCCATCTTATAATGAGTGACAAACATAAAGAAAAAATAACAATCTTCAAGTACAACCCAAACAAGTCCACTATATCATCTTTTGTATGTCCCATCCAGTTTTTAATGGAGAAATTATTAGCCAGAACATAAATAGTTGACTGTACACACTCTAAAATAATATGTATATAGTTAATGGAAAGATTATATGCATCAGCTCTAAAGAATACTCCCTCCGGTCCAGTTTATAAGGCACACGTGCATATCAAGATTCAAACTTCGCAATCTTTGACCAATAATTTTTAACTATTGTAATACAAACTTGATACAGTTAGATTTATATAATCAAATATACTGCCAATGATCATAGCTTTATAACCAAAAAATACAATAAATGAATGGTCAAATTGTAATTTGGGAGACCATGTCATGTCTCACTGTGCCTTATAAACTGGACCAAAGGGAGTATTACACAAGCAAGATGTATAGAAGGATTCAGAAACATTTTGACCATTTACTTATATTGGCTAACAGTAGTTTGTACCTTTAAAAGCAACCATCATGTCGCATAGCTAACCTATGTACACAAGTAAATATTCCATTTTACTTAATTAGGCAACTAGCACAGAGGATAACGTTGCCATATTCATTTCAATTCATATAACGACATAAATTAAATAATTGTACTTACGCATTAAAATTTTTCTTCTCCAGAGCATCCAAAACTAAGGCTGAACATCTAGTCATTCACCATTGGTCCACAATAATGCATCTTATACAAAGTTAAAACGAGATTTCTACGTTCTGCCAAAACCCAGATAATCACATGATTGACCAAATCATCATCATGGTATTCAACTATTTTAGAATTAACCACGAGACCATACTACATTAGATACTAAAACAATTTGAAGATCCATAAATGAATGTCGATGGTATAAAATGTGTGTTGACAAAACCATTCTGCATCACTAAAAGCTAGCAAGTATAGCAAGCCATACTCAGAGCACTACCTGAAATAGCTTACCATGAAGCCCTTGAGGAGACAAGTCCTGCAGCATTGCCCCACACTCTTTGACAAGCCCACAGCCACCTATCATCATTGACAAACATATGGACATATTCCAGAAATGAGTAAGTTGTTAACAAAATAAAGTCAAAAAGTACATAAGCTCCAAGCTATGTACCTCAAAACTATCATCAGTTGGATTTTCCAGGAGTACAGTAAGAAGCTCCAGCGCCACGAGCTCATGCGCCACTACCTGATTTACCAAGTGCGCAATGAATTTGGTTATCGCAAGCAATTGAGGCTGCAAGTAAAGGAGAACTTTAGTAAGAAATTTATGCAGAAACTAACAATTAAGCGCATATGCAATTCTTCATACTCAAATATTAAGCATCCTGAATGTAAGTAACAATTCATCCTATCCTATGTACATAAACAGCAGACGTCAGTGTATACAGGACCCAGGTATAAACAGCAACTTTCGTTAGTTCTTTTATTTGATTTGAATCCAGAATCCAAGTAGAAGGTATACCCTATGTAACTTTCCAAACCTGCATCGATCCAGTTCATGCGTTCAAATACAAATGGAAAGCAAAGTAAAGTGTTGTGCAAAGAATTTCATGAGCCTAACTACAACCCTTTGTAAATACAGAACAGCAGACCTATTGGTATGCACCAATAGTTCTGCTTCAGCTGCGAACTTAAGTAGCCAATTTTGTTTTCCAGACTAATATAAATAGGATAGCCATTTTGTAAATGAGTGAGTTAAAACAATTGCAAAGATCTTGATCAGGATTAGGTAAGCAACAATACATTAAGCTAAATTAGTTCTATGAAATCACCATGGAATGCAACTAGACCCCAGCATTTGTAAATTCTAAATGAGTCATTCTTAAACCCAAAAGGTAACAAAGTATTAATACTTCTTGAGCTAAGGAAAATGAAGACAAGCTCACCTTGTCATTTCGCTTATATGCCCTCTTGAGCTGGAGCACAACACGAACAAGAAGCAACCGCCCAATCTCAGGGAACTTGGTATTCACAACCGCAACTAGCGCAGCAAATACATCTGTGAACCCAGGTGAGGCCATCTGTGACTTGATGCAAGACTGACAAAAAAGCCCCGGCCCACGAACAAGATACTCTGCAAAGAGCTCCGTCACTATATTCTTGATATTGGTCGCATTCACCTTATTCACCAGCCCATTGATGCTCTTCTTGAGAGCATCCCAGGTGAGGCGCTGATACTCAGGGCTCGACTTGTCCTCCACATCACGCATCATCTGTGCCATGCGGAAAGGCGGGATGTAGATCCCACCCGTGCGCCCAGGGATCATCTCCGGAAGCAGCGGCGGTGGTGGGGGCAGTGGCGGGGTCGGCTCCCTCTTCACAGGGCTTCTCCGGCGCTCGTCTCCGTCGTCCTCCCTTCGCCTGCGGTCATCCCGCCGCCTCGAGCCCTCGTCTCGGCGCCGGCGGCGGTGGCAACGGTCGTCGGGTGAGGACCCTGACTCTGAGCTAGGGCTCTGGCGGCGGTGGCGCCGGCTGTCCCTCTCCCTCTCCCGGTCTCACTTGCCACGGCGGTCGTCCGGCTCATCATCCGCATCCCTAGCCCGCCTGCGCCGACGGCATTCCTCCTTCTCATCGTCGGAAACCCTATCGCGCATCCTCCGGCGTTCGCCACCTTCCTCCCCATCTGACACCCTGTCGCGCCGGGGAGGGCGGTTGTCGCCGTCCTCATTCCTTCCGGGCTTGGCGTGGCCGTTCTCCTTCTCCTCAGAGGGCTTGGCGTCGCGGCGGCGACCGCGGCTGTCGGAATCCGGCGGCGAAGCCCTAGATCTGCGACGGCGGTCCGCGTCGACGCCGGGGGATGGCGAGCGGGGTGGGGACGGGGACGCGCAGCGCTTGCGGCGGCGCAGGGAGACGTCATCGCGGTGGCTGTGGTGGCGGTGAGGCGGAGGCGGCCAGAGCCTGGGGGAGCGGGGTCGTCAGTCGTGTCTGCGAGATTGAAAAGGGAAGAGGACGGAAATTGGATATGAAAATTTTCAAACAAAACGGAGATTGGTTCGGTCGGTTCTGCATAACCGACCATAGATTTTGAATTCATAATAAAGAATAAATATTCAAATTGATGGGGAACTAAAGGTGTTTGGGACTGTTTCGCTTATATTTTTATAGCTTCGCTCTACCAACTCCATCATGGAATAGTTCCACTGTAGAGTTTATGGAGCAGTGGCAGCCTAGCTCCAGCTCAAAAATAGAAGTTTTTTCTTGAATGGCCTAATATGCCCTTAGATGATGTGTGCCATATGTTTTCACGTTTGTAGTGTTATATATATATATATATATGAATGAATGATTGTTCTTTAGCAGTTGAATATGATGCAAAATATTATAGTTGCAAATAATTTAGTCAAAATAATTATTAAGGCCTCTTTTGCACATTTTTTTTAATATATGAAAACGGCACGCTCCTCATTTGGACCCATGTCATTTGTTGCTTCCGATTATAGATGCTTATCTTATTCAAACCTCATATCTCCTACAGCTAAAAAGACTAAAGAGTGGATACTTTTTTATGCGACAATTGCTTCGGGTCGTCAGTCTGTCTCGGTGCGATCTCCGCTCCGTCTCCCCGCTCGCCTCCCCCTCGTGTGAGATCCCGGTGCCCTGACCCACGAAAAAAAAAACCGCCTCCATCGTCCTCTCTCCACGCAAAATAGCCACCGGCGCCCGAGGCCCGACCCTACCCCGCTGAGGCCGCAGAGGGCGCAGCCCCGCCCTACCACCATCGAGGGCACGTCCCTGCCGCAACACCCTGGCCTGTGCCGCGTGAACAGCGGAGGGTGTCCCGTCGCCGACGCCCCACCCCTAACCTGGCGAGATCGCCACCCAGCCCCTGTCTTGTAACGCCAATGCCGCCGCCGCCGATGTCCTACCCCTGTATGCCCCGTCCGCGAAGGCGTCCGATTCGGGCATAGGCAGCAGCGAGTGGATGGGTATGTAACAGAACCGACCAATTATACGAGATTAAGTAAGGAAATCTTCCACCAAGCGAGATAATTTAGCAAACTTAAACCCAGATAACTTTCGGTAGTCCGTGAAACCACGAATGATTTCAAACCAATCGACATACAAACCAAGATCGTATAAGTTTAGCAAGTACCATCACACGTTACATAAAGTTCGCAATCACAGGTTCGGTACATCGAGTTTAGAATATAAAGTTATTACAACCCAAGTTCAAACTGAAGTAGCAGATGCAAATAATTTTAAAGCCACACACACTTTTAGTTCAGATACAATGCCAGTAGGTAGTCATCTCCAACAAAAGCATCAGATGAGAGATACGGAGTGACCATTGCCCTTGGTCCTAGTTGTCGCCCATCGCGAGGTACAGACAGTTAATGCAATAGCCGTAGTATATTTGACCATCTGCAACAACAATGAGAACAACGCCCTGAGTACGAGAAGGTACTCAGCTAGACTTACCCGTCTTAAACCAAAATAAAGCGACACCAAGGATTATGCAAGGCTTTCTTAAGTGGGCTAGCTGACTTGTTTGCGAAAAGCATAAACTATCATGAAGACATCATTTTAAATACTTTGCATCATCTTTATTATAACCTATTCATCTAGGTAAGCACTTGTACTATAGCAATCACTTGATTAACCAATAACATCCAGTTACCAATTTAGCTTTAGCATGTCCATACCATCCAGATAACCATCATTGTTTCATAATAATTACTACGATGTCGTAGCTCGAGTCAAGTGCTCACTATCCAGGAGCGATGGCGATTCGAATCGATTCCTAACCAGCTGGTGATTTATTCCTCACACAAACCATGCTTCCCCTGCCAGGGTAGCTTAGATCACTAAGGACAATATTTAGGTAGCCACGGGACAATCTGAAGCCGCAGTACCTAGGGACCGCCCGACTGCTAGGAATCAGGGCGCACCTGCCCTTGGGCTCACTCTTCGCGTCCCTGTCATACCCCCATCAACACCAATACGCGCACCTGTGTAGATCCCGGCCCGAATAGCGCCACTAGCTTCGCGGTCGAAAGGTACTTTATTCGGCCAGCTAAATGTGAGGCATGCGTTCAGCATAACAAGAGGGACGAGCAACGATCGGTCCTTAATCGACACAGACGGAAACTAACAGCACCCTAGAACCATGTCTGGTTGCCTCCAACTTTTTCCGTCCGGTCTCCAATTATCCATCACACATGATTAATTCCAGGATATCATTCTTTCCATAGCTAAATTCTTCCAGTAATCACCTATAATGTAAGTGACCGGATATCACCGATCGCTACCGGTCTAAGCAAGACTAAGCAGTTATTCGATCATAATCTAACAGGGTAAAAGGTAATAAGGTAGACAAGGATAGTAATAAATGCATCAACGGTTTCAATCAACACCTACAATTTAATGCAACAATATATAAACTCATATATATAGAAAGAATTGCTTTTATAAAGTAGGAGACTTAGAATGCTCCGGAGCTTGCCTCGTTCGAACGAACTAGGTTGATGATCCACACACTTGGGCAAGTCCTCTCCTTGGTCCTCTTCCTCTAGCACCTCCTGTGCCTAGACTTCTTATGGATCTGTCCCGGTCTGCTCTTCCTGAACTGCTACTAGCAACTCCTCTTGTGATCCTGTATGATGCAGATGTATAAGTGCTAATACATAGGTGCATCGGGGAGATGATATGTAATGATCACGATGCATGAAATGTAGATGAACATGTTTAACTTTATTGGACATAGTAGTAGCAAAGCTCTTCTACAACGTAGTCAACGTCAACCAAGAACATGTACTACTATCTACTACGACAACCACTGTACTAACATGCCAAATCACCACAGCAAACTAAGATGCTTCAAAGATACACCAAAACGAACATTATTAACTAAACTCGTATTAAAGAGGATTATTTTATTTTATTTTAAACTAGGGCTACAACAACAACATATATTTTTAGTGCTTATAAAAATCTAATAAAATTACAGTAGCATAGTACTACTCTAAGTAGACTACCATAAAATTTTCATGGTATTTGGATAAGTAAAATAGCCTACACAAAAATGACAAGCTATGGTTGATAATTAAGCATGAAAATATTTTGTACTATAAAAAGTGTCAAACAACAGATTTGATATTTTTCCTATGTTCTACACAGTAAACAATCACTGCACAAAAATTATCATACACATGTTTTATACAATTTTTGCTCTCTATCAAAATAACAAAAATCATCAATTAAAGGCACTTGAACTGCACATCAATATTTCTCTATAGAACATGCATGACATATATTTTTCCTACAAAGTACATCACTAAAGGAGATTAACAAAACTAGAACCATATTTTTCTAATGTATATTCTATTTACTAGACATTTTCTAAGAAATCGGCATTTATTCAATTTAAATAAAGCTACACAGAAAAGTATCACAAATTTGACATGCAATATTTTTAGCAGATAGATCTAGTCACAAGAAACCTAGCAAAACTTATTTCAACAAATTTGGAGCCATTTTGAGCAAGTTATAAATTTCCAAAGCCTTTAAACAGAATCTGTAAATCATTTCTTTTATTCTTTTATGAAAATCCCGGTTCAAAAATGTTAGATCCACCCGGATCTCTACCCAGGCTTGCACCCCAGCGGCTGACAGTGGGCCCCCTGGCCCCATAGGTCAGTCACTAAGGCTGGGGATCTCGGCCGCGGCGGTTCTCGCCGCCGGTGAACTTGCCGGCGGTGAGGTCACCACTGGAGGCTTCCCCGAGACAAGGCGGACCTAGCAGTACCCCTACCCTGGCCAGTGGAGCTCAGGAGCAAGCTCACCGGTGTCCATGGCGGCGTGGTGGCGTGGCTCAACGTCGGCCGGCCAGCTCCGGCCGAGAGGTGGTGCGGGGAGTGGCTGGCGAGCTACCCCGTGTTCGTGCGGTGCTCGTGTGCGCAAAAAGGAGGCGAGAAGGAGGATGGAGGGGCGAGGTCCACGGAGCGACGCATCTCCGGTGAACTCGACCAAGCTTCGGTGAGCGATTACCGACGACTCATAGCTTACCACGGTGATAAGGTGCTAGCACGGGATGCCCGCTAAGGAAAATAAAATGATTTTTCTTTTTATTTCTTAAATAAACAGAACTAAAATTCCATTTTGAGCCATTTTAAAAGCATTTTCACAAGCTGGTGTAAAAATGAAAGTTGTTCAGAAAAAAGTAGTCTACAACTTTGCCAAAAAGAGTAAGACCAAAATCCAATTAGATTTTGAACTATAGATTTAAAGTTAATTTAAATCAAAAACCCAATTTTAGAAGATTATTTTTAAAAGCAAAATTTGAGAAAACTTTGAATATACACCTTGCTCCAAATTGCATCTTAGCTACTTCTAATTGGTCTAAGTGATCAACCTAGGTACACACATGGCAAAACAAACATAGCATCCAATCTATTAAAACAAAACTATGCAACATACATGTTTCATTAGTATGTTTTAATTCTATATTTCATGTCATGCTTATGAATGCATAATAAGGATTATGCTCATGATTTGCAAAATGTTAATGCATGCTTAACACCGAGGTGTTACAGCCCTCCCCCCTTATAAGAATCTCGTCCTGAGATTTTGAGTTACGAACCATTTGTTATAAAAATCCTTATAAGCGTTTTGCAGATATTCTCCTGTTTCCCACGTCGCATCACCATCATCATGATGACTCCACTGTATCTTATAGGTTCTCACCACTTTATTCCAAGTGACTCTGTCCTTAGTGTCCAAAACTCGAACCGGTTGCTCATGGTATTCCAAGTCTGATTTGAGCGGAATGCTCTGAGGTTCTATTCTCTCTTCCGAAACACGCAAGCACTTCTTCAACTGTGATACATGGAAGACTAGGAAGATCGAACCCAGCACTTC